AATGAGAGAGCCCCCCCCCCCAGACTTTGCGTCCGATTCCTTCTGAACGAGAATTCGATCACATTTTCTTTACCCATAAAAGCAAACTGCTTCTAGGAAGTGCGATTGGATGGGCCTCTCCCCTGTCCACGCCCTCCTCCCCCTCCATATCCTCCATACCCACGCCCTCCTCCTCCTCCTCCATATCCGTACCCACGTCCTCCTCCATAACCGTAACCACCTCGTGAACGACCACCGCCACGTCCATAGCCTCGTCCACCTCTATATCGTGAGAACTCACCAAACGTCTGTATCCATTCCTCCCAATTAGGTCAGGAATCATTAATGAAGATTATGAAATATTGACCAGTTATGTAGGAACTATATATACCTCAGTATCCAGTTTCCTCAGCTCTGAGAACCTAGGTCTTCCATTTTGTGATTCCCGGTCAAGAGCGTTAGACGAGAGTGAATCGAAGAAGTCGTCTTTATTGTAAACGGGCTGCAGCAACAAATGTAAAAAAGGCTCATAAAAGATGACACAATTGAGAAAGGGAGTGTGAATGATGGGTTTGTTTCGTTTATGAAATGAATTCACGGACCTTGACCTCGATCTTAGGCAACTCAGCGTTTTCTTCTTCTACAGAATCATCTCCCTCAGCATCTTTCCCATCTCCTTTGCTACTCTTGCCAAGATGTCCCCAGACTTCATCCTTGTTGAACTTTTCATTCATTGCGGTGAAATCAAAATCTTCCGTAAACTTCATTACCTGGTGTGATCTCTGTTCAAAAGGAGGATTCAGGATTTTTGCAAACATGATTACTGGTTCTACACTCTCATCGCATGAACTTTCATCCACACAAGATATCGAAACTGTACTTGTTCTAAAGAAGAAGAGAGAATAATTTTACCCCAGCTCCTCTGCCTCTTCCTCTTCCACGTCCCCTGTAACCATTATGATTATGAAAAGACGGCCCATTTGGCTGAGGAAAGAAACAGTAAATATCAGTTCTATTAGTCATCAAAACATACCATCCAGAACACAAATAACTTGCACGTATAAAAGGATGACAAATACCACCAAAGAAACCCAGCCAGGTTTTCTAGATGCTTCTAGCAAAGGAAAACCGGGCACTGAGTGGGCACATTAAAACGTACTCTATCTGAAGTGCGACCAATATCGTTACTTCAGGTTATTCAAACATCAGCATGAGATAAACTATGCCACATAATGCCTATTTCTCCTAGAGAAAATTATGAAAATCAGGAAATTCAAATCTCTTCATCCTATTATGCCCAAGAAGATTAAAAAAAGTTGAAAAGTAAAACAATCTAAAACCTTCTGAATTGGCCTTGCAGGAGCAGGCAATGGCAATATCGCAGGTTGTGTCTGTGTCTCTGTCGTAATTGGAACAGGTTGTTCCAATGCAGATGATGATGATATTTGAACCACCTCCACATCCCTGTCTGTAGTTTGAGATGGTGGAGACAAAGTGACTGCAGCTGATCCAGACTGCAACAGCTGACCTGGAGTAATTAAAGAAGGTTTCGGCTTATCTTGGCTTATGGAAGTAGAAGCCCCAACAGCAGGAGCAGCAGACACAGATGTCTTCTGAGACAGATTTATTGAACCAGGAACTACACTAGATTTGCTAGAAATCGGTAGCAGGCCAGCAAATGAATCAGTAACTGCAGTAGTTGAAAGAGAAAGGAGTGGCAAACTTGTGTCCTGAGTTAGGGTATGGGGAGCAGCAACGGGAGCTTTTTCAGCCAATAAACTAGGTGATATCTCTGAAGCTAATGAAGCAGATGGAGCCGATGGTAGCATCGACGGCAGGGAAGATGACAATGGCAGAGCTGAAGACAGCATGGCTGGCAGTGATGATGATAGCACGGGTGGCAATGCAGAGGTAGATAATGAAGTGGGTGCTAAACTTGGAGAACTAGTACTCAGAGTAAGCAGCGAAGCAGGTGCTTCTGGCAAGCTCGGACCCTGCAGATTAGAGGAGCCGGGCAGAGTGGTACTAAAGTTAGGGAATTGCAGGGGTTGCTGCAGAGTAGACATTGACAGTCCAGGAGGGGGTCGAAGGAGAGATTGCTGATGCAATTGGGGAAGACCATTTGGAGGGGGGTTATAGTATCCTTGCCAATACATTGGCGGTTGTGGTGATGCCCCCCATGACCCAAGATTTCCACCAGGTGGATACAAAGGCAAGCCACCTTGAAATCCTATCCCATGTTGTACTTGTGCGCTATGGGAATTAATGTCAGCTGGCGAACCACTCGCAGCAGAAGGCAAGCTGCTAGATGTTGGCATCGGACGAGGATAGTGAGACTGCAAAACACAGATAAGTGGAGGATGGGGTCATGTCAATTGATTCTAAAGTCATGGTCAACCGTCAACATGGTTCCACAAAATTTCTCTACTCACCTGAATTATAGCAGGGTCATTGTTTATAGTTGGTGTGGACTGAACAGGTGGAGAGGCTTTGACTTGCAAATCCTGCCGACAACAAAAGCAATCGGTATTGAAGTATCAGCCTGATTTCACTGAGCACATAAAAGTATCAGTATCATCACGTTGGATACCTTGATGTCACTTCCCCGGAACAATATGTACTCATAAACTTTTTCACTTGCTGGAATTTGCGGACCATCCTTTTTTCTCCCTTCAGTTCCAAATGATCGAACTACACATGAAAAAAGTTCACAATTGAGAACAGATCTCAAACTCAGATGTAGCATCAATCATATCAGATTCAGCTCTCCACCAACCAAGCTATTGCAATAGGCTCAAAGCACTTACTTCTAAGATTACAATTTGATCAATTCCACCCTTCTCTATGCAAAAAAAAGTAAAGTCAATCGAGTCTACTAACTACTACGCACTATAATTCTATACATAAAGATTTCTCATTCATTAATTCAAAGCACAAGACGAATGGAATCTCATCCAAATCAAACTACATCGCTTCAAAACGGAGCCCGTTTTCACAAGGACATCGAAAAGTGCAACAGGGTAGGCAAAACACAAACAAACCCATGAGATTCTCCTAAATCACAGAAGAACACGCAAGAGTATCAACGTAATTTCACTAAACAAACAAAGAAACCCGCATCGTCCTCCCTCCAACGCAGGCGATTGAAAACCGTACCATTTTGCAGTCCGATACTTGATTCATCCGTATTAATGTTGTACAGAATCCCTTCATATCTGATCTCGCTCTTCGATGTCAAGCTAATCAAGCTCCCGATGTAAGAATCAGCCGCGGAGCCCGACTTCGCGCCCGTATTATCAGCCGCCATGTCCGATCTACGTCTCTCGCCGCCGAAACACTACAAGAAACACAGTCGAAGAGAGAATCCGAGGAAAAACCAGAGTGGAGAGACGAATCACACTCTCCCGAGTTCCTGATCCCTTCCCAGAGAGAAAACGACGGGAGACACGATAGAGAAAATTAGGGTTTATTCTAATTGGGGCCAAAGAGGTGAAAGCATCTTTCTATGGTTATCCGTTCCCGTACGACGAAAAGAGAAAATATTATTTGACCATAATATCCGACCCTTCCACTTACCATATCTCGCCACGTGTCTATCTTGGGATATTTTGGTAATTTCAATCGCAATGATTTAGGGCAATTTCTGTTTAGGCGAATCGTGAGTAAAGGGTAGTATTGACAGTGCAGGGCTGATGTATATTTACTATGTCACCCCTTAACATAGCAGAAATTGCATTTGGGTCCTCGGGGTTGGTTTGGTAATTTATGGGCTAATCCAGTGTCTTTGTGGTAAAAGCTTAAAGTTGTGGCCGTGCGAGCCACCACGGAGACAAGCGTGCGAGATAACTGCGTTCGCGGAGTTGCGTTCCCATTTTGCATCTTCGTTTTCCTCAATTCGTCGATCATATTTTTCTTGATTTCTGCCGATTTCTTCATCTGGGAACTCGTCGAATCGAAGGTCGTGAGTAGGGTTCCTTTTTCTCTGTTCTTCCTCACCCGATGGATCTGGGTCTGTAGGGTTCAACGCCAATGTTCACTCCACAGAGAAAACAGTGGCCGGTGGTCCAGACGCCGGGAAGCGAATCCCGGAGGAGTGACTGGAAGGGGAAGGCGGTGGCTCTAGCCGAAGAAACGACGCCGATGCCGCCGCCGCCGACGGGATTTCTGCGAGGGACCGGCGGGTTTGGGGCGGCGTTGGGTTCTGGGGAATACGTGGATGATTGGCAAAGGTTCAAAGAGGTTGGCTTGTTGGATGAAGCATCCATGGAGAGGAAAGACCGCGAGGCGCTCATGGAGAAGATCCTGAAGCTCGAGGGTTCTGGGGAATACGTGGATGATTGGCAAAGGTTCAAAGAGGTTGGCTTGTTGGATGAAGCATCCATGGAGAGGAAAGACCGCGAGGCGCTCATGGAGAAGATCCTGAAGCTCGAGAAAGAGGTAAGGATGTTTGCTTGGATTCATTTTGAGTATGCCGTTGAACTGTTCAAATGTCTGCTTCTGCTGATTTCGGCTTCTCGTTCGTAATATGTTTAGGGTGTTGATTAACAGTAGTTATATCGGTTAAATGCAAAAACTTTTGTTGCGCAAAAGCAAAAGGTGAAAACTTTCGCGTAGAGATGCTTCTTGATACTGAGAGGGTAGAAGTACTAATGACTTGAGATGAACAAAATTCGATTTGCTTACAGATTTGGCTTTATGGGCACTGAGATGTGTGTTAGATATGTTTGTCATGTGAAAATGTTTTGGGGGAAAGCATTACAGAAAAGTGTTGAGTTTTTCATTTGATTTGATAAGTGAATACAGAATGGTTTTGATTCTAGTGTTTGAATTGTAGCGGGTGCCTGTTGGGGGGAAATGGAAGTGTGAATGTGAACGTGTTTCGATATATGCATATGGAGACTGAACTAGAAATATATTGTTTTGCAGCTCTTTGATTACCAGCATAATATGGGGCTTCTGCTCATTGAGAAGAAGAAGTGGACTACATCAAATGAAGAGTTAAAGCAAACGCTAGATGAAGCTGAGGAGATTCTTAAACGGGAAAGGACGGCAAATTTTATTGCTTTGTCTGAAGCCGAGCAGAGAGAGGAAAATCTTAGGACAGCTTTGATTGTTGAAAAGGAATCTGTTTCCGAGGTATGTTACTTCTTGTTGGGTCTTCCTCCTCACGAGGGGTGGGGTGTATCATATAATTGTATGGCAGTTGTGCAGTGCAAGAGATTTTGTTCCTTATTATCCCTTGATTTTGTAGGCTTGTTAGAATTTGTTTAGCAAGTAATCAAGGTGGTTTCTAATGAGATATAATTAGGTTACTGTTAGTAATTAATGTAACACAATTTACAGTTTGTCTGTTTTTTCCTTATTGATTTGTACATTAACTCAAATCTACAGATAATTTAATACAGAGAAATCATTTTCCTATTTAATCAATGGTATGCTCAAGAAACAGAGAAACTGTAAACTAATGTACATTAATTAATAACAGTAAGCTAACAATATCTTTCTAAGTTTCTGTATATGGGGTTGGTTTAACATTTCTACTGTTTGTATGCCTCAGCTTGAGAGGGCTGTGAAATATCTGCAACAAGAACATTCTGAGGCGAAGACCACTTCTGAATCGAAGTTGGCAGAAGCAAATGCTTTGGTTGCTGGCATTGAGAAGAAATCTTTAGAGGTGGAAAGAAAGAGACTAATGGCTGAAGAAAAGCTTGCAGAGGTTGGTAGGAAGTCTTCTGAGCTGGAGATGAAACTAAAGGAGGTGGAAACCCGCGAAAAGGTGCTTCAAAGGGAGCAACTTTCGTTGGTGACGGAGTAGGTTCAAATCACTGTTTGTACTCATGATATCTGTTTCTCATTTGTTTTGTGGGTACATATATTTTTCTTATACATTTGACATTCTGTTCGTGTTTCTTAGGCGGGAAGCACATGAAGCAACGTTCTACAAGCAGAGAGAAGACCTGCAGGAATGGGAGAAGAAATTGACTGAGGAGGAAGAGAGGCTGTGTGAAGTTAAAAGAAGTATTAACCAAAGAGAGGAAAAAGCCATCGAACGTGAAAGAATTGCAAAGCAGAAAGAGCAGGGCCTTGAAGAGTTGCAGCGGAGGATTGATATTGCCAACTCAAAGTTAAAAGAGAGAGAGGAGCATACAAACAATCTACTAGCTGAAATTGATTCAAAGGAAAAAGTCAGTTTTGTGTCTTGTATTTGCTTCACCTTCATCTGAATTTTCCTGTCTTCTTATAGATTTCTTTGTCATCTTAGGACATTGAGGCCAGGAGCAGTATGCTTCAGATGAAGGAGAGGGAGTTACACCAATTGGAAGAGAAACTTATTGAAAGGGAGCAGGTGAGGCTCCACTTCTGTGATTCCTAACCTTTATTTAATATTCTTGCTGGCCTTTGCATTTTGTTGTTGGTAATCTATATTCTAAATGCTGTTTAGAAATTGATATTTGTGTTTGAAATTAATTTAACTGGCTAAAAAGCAATTTGATATGGCAAGAATTTTCTTTTGTTTCACTGTCTGTATGATGTGTCGAAAGACGTGCTTGTCCCTATGTGTTTATCAGACTTCTTAGCATAATGACATGGTGATTAATGTTAAATAGATGGAGATTGGGAAGCTGCTTGATGATCAGAGGGCTGCACTAGATTCCAAGAGGAAGGAGTTTGAAATGGAGCTTGAACAGAAGAGGAAATCTCTTGATGAGGAACTCAAAAGAAGCCAAGATAAAGTTGAAGAAGAGCAAGTTGAGATCAGCCACAAGGAAGAGAAATTGGCTAAGAGAGAGTCAGCTTTGGACAAAAAGGCGGAAAGAG